AAATTTGACTTCTTCAAACAGGAAGATTTCAATAACTGAGTGTCATGGTTTAGCCTGGCAAGCACTAAATCAAACACTGCAATTCTCTCAGAAATGCAACTCTGCTGAACAGAAAATGAATTCTATTATTCAATCCCAGTAAAACCAGGACACTGAGTAAACACTGCAAGACTAAATCAGAAACAGCAGGCCCACTGAAGGCACGTCTTACTTTATGTTCCTACTAAGCAATTCAACAAAAGATTTCACATTTGTTAGTACTGAAGCGCAAGTCAATTTTTTATAGAAATCCTCTATGTCTCCAACCAGAGATTGACAGACATGACAGAAAAAGAGTCAGCCCCAAACTTGCTTATAGATATGACATTTCTACTTCATCAGCACTTGATGGAAATCAGGCTGCAGTTGTACATCATAAGGTATCTTCTGGCTGCTGCTGGAAAGATTGTGCTCACCAAAAAAAACCACAGGTGAATGGATCCCCCAAATACACCTAGGTCCAGGACTTAAAGACTCCTACTTTACACTATAAAATCCAATCTACATTTTTAGGAAAAAGACTCTTTAATTGCTTGGTATTTTTCATTCAGCTTTCTGATGTATTAGGCCAGAAGTTACAGAGAAGATGGAGGTCATATAAAACTAATGAGTTAATGAGTTTAACAGTACAGTACCTCATAAGTACAACTCAAAGCTTTATAACATGTTTTAGAAATCTGTAACTCAGAATCTGATGTTACAGTGACTTACTACTAACTGAACTCCAAATCAGAGAGTGACTACTGAAGTATTCCAATCCCAAACTTTTTCTGTGGGCAAGAGGGGATTAGAATGCATTACAAGAATTCTCTTACAAAGCCCTCACTTCAGTGCAACCAGCAATTTCACCGACTCACAAATAGAGGCAATGCTACACAAAGCATACCTTTTCAAATGTGGGCATTTTATTACAATACTCCCTGTGTTTACACTTCACAGAAACATCAGAGCTTGCTATACGTGTATTAACAGTAAGTGAGCTTTTTTATAATTGGCAACATATTCCTTTGAAGATATAAGGCATCATTTATTTTCACAGTATGTTTAAAAAAGACCATACCACATTAAGTGTACTAAATAAAAGCATTAACATTGAATGATTAATTTTATAACTCAGTGAAATCCATGCAAGATTTCACATTACACTAGTTCATAATAAAACCTTATACCTGAATCGGCGGTAGACCTTTTTCAGGTGCCTCATGCGACCAGTACCAGTGGTGTTGCGTCTTTTAGCCTTTGCACTCCAGTTATCTAGAACACAGGAGTTACTGTTACTCATCTGCACCAAATAATTAGTTGCACAATGCATGTGAATAGCACAACTACTCAAACTGACAGAAGCAAAAGAAAATGATAAGTCAATTTCTATGCAGTAATACTGCACATTAGCTGAAATATAGTTAAATCAGTGTTGTTTATAATTTAAAAGAAAGCTCCAAACACTGCAAGATGACACAGTATCCTTCCTTGGTTGGAAAAAAGCCAGACTATTGAAGACGACAAAGAAAAACAAGTTTTTAAACTCAAATCTGTTACTTACACTTTCTCTTACGCTTGGCAGGGTAACCACATTTCCCACATGTAGATTTCTGCAGATGGTATGCCTTGGACCCACATCGACGACACAAGGTGTGTGTCTTATTTCGTCTCTTACCAAATGACGATGTACCCTTCGTCTGAAAAACATTGCACATTGTAAATATCACTAGCACTTGCAATTCATGTGACTCATAGCACAAACTCCTCTAAAAAAACACGCACAAATTCAAAGTCCAATAAACATGTCAGAAGCACACTGAACTCTGAAACACCAACTCAGTTGCACCTATAGGTATCCTCTATTTTTAGAAGTCGGATCCTTACACCTCCCTACCCTCCTGCCCAGTGCTGAAATAAAACAAAGCCACCAAGCGATTATCTCCAACTCCATTCTCATCTCCCCAGTAAACTTCTTTTTCCTGAGAAAACGTATTTATTTCACGCAGATCAACCGTATGCTCACCACAAGAGACTGGCAACCAACCCCCCTCTTACTACATTATCTGAGAGCTAAATGGCAGCCCGACCTGGACCGCAGCAAACACAGAAGAGACTCCGAAGGAAACCCCAAAGGCGCCCTGGCGGCAGTACAGCCCCGCACCTCATCACAACCTCCCCGCCCAGCACGAGACGCCCCGCACCCCCACCCGGGCCAAGAGCGACCCCCCCGCCAGCCCCTCCAGCCCCAGCGCACTCGTCCCGCCGCCGAGCCCATCCCCATCACGGCGCAAGGCCGCCCCATAACCCCACATAGCTCGGCACGGCAGCAGATACCCCACACCCAAGCCCGAGCGTTCACCATTTTCTCCGGACGCTAGCACCAAAGGGACCACACCCCGCCCCACTTCCGATATAGCCCGGCAAGCGCTTCCGGGTGCGTGCTGGGAGTGTCCGGTGGGTGTGGTGGAGAGGTCCGTTCCGCTGGCCCGGCTAGGGAGGTCTAGTGCGTCAGAGAGAGAGTGCTCTCTTTGGCTTGGCCTCACCCAGGGTTGTGTTCAGGAGTCCCCTCCGCGTGGTGGCCCCTTGCCACCAGGCCCGGCCTGCTGGGACAGACTGGGGTCCCCAGAAGCCCTGGTGTCCTGGGTGAGACCCTCAAGGCCTGGGCCCCAGAAGCTTGGTTGTCCACAGTGATACCACCCCAAAACTGGTGCTTATTAGGGCATTGCAGTGTGTCCTAGGCTGTGGTGTGACTGGTCCTGGAAATAATGACTAAGAGGTATCTATGTGTAAATATGTCTCTACCTGTTCAAGAAAATAGTTAACAAACCTAAGGTGTCTTACTGGCACATAATTTTTAACTCTAATACGTCTTTTCTGTGATAGTGTCCATGCTGCTATTCACAGGTGCCTACAGCTCCACTTCAGGCTGCAGAATCAAGTCCTGGTCCTATTTCCACATTCAGTGAAAACTGTTTTCATGACTGAAATTCAGGGACAGAGTATTCTTGGCTGTAATACATACTTTCACTGAACTGCCTTAAAAAAATAGGTAGCCCCTACTGCACACTCTGCTTGTCCATGTCCCCCCAGCCCCCTAAATGTCACATGACAGTCTGCCTGCAGTCTAAAGCATTGCAATGGACATCATTAATGCAAAATCATTTTTTATTCAGATGCACCATTTAAATTCTCACATGCCAGCCTACCATGTCTCTTCAGTAGACTCACACTCTATAGGTAATATGGATTTTCTAATTTTTTTTTTAGTCTAATAGGATAGCTTGCAAAATTAATGTTTTCTTCTTCCTGCAGATGTTTCAAAATTAAACTAAAACTCACCTATATTTGAATCCTTTGCTACTAAATGCAAAGCAAAGCAATTTCCATTTCCTACCAGATAAAATGCTGTTTCTATTTTTTTTGTTCCATCAAGTGGAGATAAAGTTGGAGTCTTCAGTGTCAGAGAACAAAGTATACAAAACTGCATGCAGCTGTTTGCCATAGTAGAATTATAGAATGTTTTTTGGCTCTTCTACAGTGCTCATGAGCAGTGCTCATACAGGTAAGTTACATTAGAAGAGCAATTTTTTTTATTACCATTCCTTAGCATTGAACAGAGACCAGATAATAGTCTTCAAACCACTGACAAATGCTCGGAGAGTGGCATTAATACTTGGTAGATCATGGTTGAAGCATGACAACCATCAGAAACATACCAGGAGCAAGAACTTCCCACTCACTTCCTCAGCTGCATTTAACCTTTACCTTGGGATAGCTGGGAAGGATCCTGAGTCCTTCCCCACAAGAAACCCCACTAAAATATTTTTTGTTGTTATATCTTGCTAGGAGAACAAAGGCAGCAGAGGTAACTAGAAACCTGGGACACGCTCGTTACACAGTGCAACAGCGTCTTACAGATTTTTAAAATTTCCCTAGGTTTTTTTTTAATGCCTATACTTAGACACATTACAGAGTTGTGGGGCATTGTTGCACCAAAGCAGTAAGTCTCAAAGGGGATTTCACTGGCTAGCCTCGAACTTGCAGAAGTGGTTGCATGGCAATTTGGGCTGAGCGCCAGAAGGGGTGCATATGAGAAAGCTGCAAGTTCCTTTACAAGGTAACAGCCATTTTCTTCTCTTTTCAATTGTATAACAACTAAATATTCTTGTCTTGTAAGTATTATTTTGATAACAACCAAGCTATATTGATCTTGTTTTCTTTAATACTTGTCGCAGTAGGGACAGACAAAGCGACAAGACAAGTGTTGACGCAGCACAAAAAGGCCTTTTATTGTTTTTCTTCCTCATCTATTTATACTCTTCTCATTGGTTCAAAGTTATCATGTTTCTTTTTATTGGATAATATTTTCACAGTTCATCACAACTCAGCACTTCCGCCAAAGGAACAGTCTGCTGTCAGCACTTTCGACAAACTTGTTTACCTTGCGGCTCTTCTTGTTGCTGTTTATTCTCTCAGGGGTAGACTGGAATCTTCTCAAGGTCAAAGTCACTCTGTCCAAGGGCCTCAGTCCAGCTGAGGTCCCCCACAGGGACACAACTGGGACAGCTGACCCCAACTGGCCAAAGGAACATCCCATAACATATATGACATCATGCTCAGCAATAAAAAGCTGGGGGGAAGAAGGAAGCGGGGGACGTTCGGAGTGGTGGCATTTGTCTTCCCAAGTAACCATTACACATGATGGAGCCCTGCTTTCCTGAAAATGGGTGAACACCTGCCTGACGATGGGAAGTAGCTGAAAGGATTGATATCCTTGGTCATCCCAAGTCGATACATATAAGTTTTTACTTGTATTTTTATTGTGTTATATAGAAGTGTCACTTGTATTCTTTTCCTAGCTTCATTTGCACAGTGTTACATGTCACTTCTTGCCTGGTGAGATCAAATAGGCCTTGAGATGGTCCGTTAAGCTTTCTGGGTACATCCTTGATAACAGTGGCTCAAGAGAGTAAGATAAGTGCCAAAGAGGACAAAGAGGACACCGGTGTCCAGATAAGCACATCTGGGAGCTGGTTTAAACTGACATTCCAGGGCCAAAGAATGGATGAGCTAATGCCAGGACCATATATGGCCAAAGGAAACCCAGAGTTCAACTAGCAGACAGTGCAAGGAAGACTATGCATGACCACCAGAGGGGGAGAAGACTTAACCCTAAGTTTACTATGCATGCTCGGACTATGTAAAAGAATTCTGGGAACCCATTAGTGTGAGACTGCCTTTTCCAGGAAATCTGATGAATATGTATGATTTTCCTGTATATAAGTTGGTGTGTTTTGCTAACTCATTGTAGCACTCATGGAGGAGTACCCCAGTGCTGCCCAGCTGTAATAAAGAATACCTGCTTAATAACAACTTTGTTGTTATTGAGTTTTTATCTCAGAATCCTTGCTCAGCTGCACCTAGCCTCCCACTTCGGTGAGGAGTGTTAGAAAGCAAGGGGGTTTGCAAGCTCTGAACTGTTCCATAGCGAGCAAATTCCTTGATTTGCTTTGCTTGCATGCCAAGTTTTTGCTTTACCTGTTAAACTGACTTTATCTCAACCTACATGTTTTCTCTCTTTTACTCTTCCAATTCTCTTCCCTATCCCACCAGGGGAGAGTGAGTAAGCAGCTGGGTGATGTTGAGTTGCTGGCTGGGGTTAAATCACTCTGTGTTACTGTCACTCTATAAAATAGATTTTTCTACAGGCTAGTCCAGCTGTTTTCAAGACTTTACTTCGTGCAAAACATACAATTCCAATCTCAAATTTTGTCTACTACTACCATTGGTTGTTTGGACCTGGCTGGCA